CCATCCAGAATCGTGCCATGTGTGCTCTCCTCTGCCTGGCTTCCTCACCTTGGCATAGTGTGTGTGTGTGACCCATCCAGGTGTTCGTGTGTATCCATAGTTCATCCTTTTTCATTGCTGGGCAGGATTCTGTGGCGTGGCTGGACCATGGTCTGCCTGTCCATCCACCTGCTGAAGGGCCTCTAGGCTCTTGGCTTCTATGAATCATCCTTCCAGTTCCAACTATGGCATTTGATAGACATATGTTTTCATTTTTCTTGGATGAATGGAGTGGAATTGCAGGGTCATATGGTAGGCGTATGTTTAGATAAAGACTTACGACTTTCCTATAAAGTGCTTTCTTCATTTGTTGGCAACTGTTGCCCGCCCTGCATGGCTGGCAGTGTCACCTGCCCTTGAACACTCTGGCTCTGGGTGATCTGTTGAGAAGTCTGTATGGTTTGGGCACCCTTCCGGCTTGGATGATTGAGAATAGGCTTGTCATTGAGGATATTGCCTCCCCGGTTTCCTTCTCTTTTTCTATTTTAAAGCAGTTTTTTTCTAGCCCGTGTGTAACTATACAAATAATTGAGTGTTCATGTTATCAGGAACAGAGATGAAAAACTCCTGCTAAGATCAGAATTTTAAGTTAATGATTTTGTGTGTGTGTGTGTGTGTGTCCTTGAAGAAGCCTTATCCTCACCATCCCTCACTCACTTCCCTACTTCCCACAGTGGCATTGGGCCTCTACTTCTCAAGGGATGCTTACTGGGAGAAGCTGTATGTGGATCAGCCGGCTGGCACGCCCTTGCTGTATGTTCACGCCCTGCGGGACTCCCCTGAGGAGGTGCCCAGCTTCCGCCTGGGCCAGCACCTCTACGGCACGTACCGCACACGGCTGCATGAGAACAACTGGATCTGCATCCAGGAGGACACCGGCCTCCTCTACCTTAATCGGAGCCTGGACCGCAGCTCCTGGGAGAAGCTCAGTGGCCGCAGTAAGGGAGCCGCCCCAACACCCACCCCTGTGCCCCACCCCACCCCTTCCTCAAGCCGCCCTCATCACAGCCACTGGCACTGAGGCTTGGGGTGGCTTCCCCACCACCCCTGCTGTGGAAAGCGTCAGGGGTTAGGTGAGGCTGGCCTGCCTCTGTGTCCAGCCTGGAGAGAAGCCAGGACAAGCTTCAGGGCTGCCTGAGGCTGTAGGAGTTTGGAGAGACACGGCAATCATCTGGGTACACTCTTCTGCCAGACCGGAATCCCTCTTCCAGTGGGGCTAAAACGGATTAGGAGGTTTCGAGAGAGGGAGTGAGTGGGACTGGAAAAATCCCAAGGTTTTGATTTAGCAAATGACCTGCAACTCTCTGGAGAAGCCTGACTTCTTATCGGCAGCTGTCCTTGTACCTGGCAGGGACTTGGGCCTGTCCCAGGTGTCCAGGGAGGAAAGAGGAGCAGTCAGAGCCGGAGTCATGGCCACATGTGACATTGGTAATGGGAGGGGTGTGGGGGGAAGCAGAGCCCTTGTGACAGGGAACAGTCACCTGGTAGTTCCCATCCCCAGCACCCTTCCAGGGCCACGACTCTCACAGCCCTCACAACTACCCTGAGCCCTGTCTGCTGGGGAGAGGCAAGCCTCGGGCTGTGAATGCAGAGCAGGCATCCCTGCCCTACCCAGGCAGAGTGACTGATCTGTCTTCCAGGGACAACCAGGGTGCAGGGGAGGGAGGGGGCTTGGGTGGGCAGCTCCCTCCAGCGCAGCCCAGGCAGTTCCTGGAGGAGGCGGCATCTGAGATAGGTCATGGTTCCATGCACTTAGTTGCTGCCCTCTTCATCCTGCTCCCCCAGGGTGGAGCTTGAGGAACGGGAGTCCCTGGGAGGGGGCCAGCATGGAATTTGCCCTGGGCCTGCATTTCCTAGGAGGCCTAAGCCCTCCAAGGTGGGGAGAGGCTTCATGCACAGCCAGTTCCTGTTAAGGAAGAAACCACAGGGTAATTTAACAGGGAAAGTTTGTGTAAAGAATTAACTACAACAGGGGATTGGAGCAATGAGGCACAGGCTACAGGCTAGCAAAAAGTAAAGAGAATGCCAGAGTATATGGGAAGAGCAGCTCTGAGGAGCAGCCGCCCACCTAGGGCTGAGATGGAGGCTGGGAAAGCCCTCGCAGCCCAGCTGAAGTGGCTGTGACACATGGGAGATGAAACTTGCCTGAAATGCCCCCCTCTAGGCATTGGGGAAGTATGTCTGTGGCCACTCCAAACCTCCTGGGGAGGGTGTGGAGGGGGGGCACTGGTCACCCCTTACTGGAGAAGTTGCCAGCGTCAGAGTTGGGGAGCCTTAGACCCAGTGCTCAGCGCACCTCCCTGAGGAAGGGGCCTCTAAGCTGAAAATTGAATGATGAGAGCTAGGCCTGTGGGGCACTGGTACTCTGGGCTGCAGGGCCGTGCAGCAGCGGTAAGGAGGTGGCAGGCAGAGCTGGAACACCAGGCTGAGCTTTGTGGACCTTGGTGGGGATCAGGGTTTACACCAGCCCTGGAGCTCCTGCCTCCTCCCCATTCCCAACTGCCTGGCAGGTGTGGCCGACGCCCTCATAGACCTGACTTCTCTCTGCAGACCGCGGCTTCCCCCTGCTCACCGTCTACCTCAAGGTCTTCCTGTCACCCACATCCCTTCGTGAGGGCGAGTGCCAGTGGCCAGGCTGTGCCCGCGTGTACTTCTCCTTCTTCAACACCTCCTTTCCAGCTTGCACCTCCCTCAAGCCCCGGGAGCTCTGCTTCCCAGAGACAAGGCCCTCCTTCCGCATTCGGGAGAACCGACCCCCAGGCACCTTCCACCAGTTCCGCCTGCTGCCTGTGCAGTTCTTGTGCCCCAACATCAGCGTGGCCTACAGGCTCCTGGAGGGTGAGTGCCGACCTTGTGGGGCCACCCCACAGTGCCTGCTACTGCTGGGCTTGCTCTGCGAGCCCTTGACACAGGCCATCTGGTTTATTCTTCACCTCCATGCCATCAGTTCATTCAACATTCCAGAAGTACCTCTTGCATGCCTGCCAGGGGCCAGGTACTATTCTAGGAGCTAACGATATAACAATGAACACAACAGGTTGGAATCTTGCCTGCCTGCAGCTTTCATTCTTGTGGGGCAGACAGAGCGTCTGAGCATACCAAGGAAATTGGGTGGCTTCTGGAAGGAGCTAGCTTCCAGAAACTAGGAAACTGGGAAGAGGGAAACGCTGAGGAGGAGGGGAACAGAGGAGGAGACCTCCATTCCTCCATCGTAAATTGGGTGGTTGTGGTGGGGGCTAGCAGAGCAAAGATGGGAGGGTGCCGGGTAGGCAGGCCCAGCCCCTTGGAGGGCACTACAGTGTGACCCTCGTGTGCCTGGAGTGCACTGAGCTACAGGGAAAAGCTGAGGCTGATAGGGCAGAATAGTTCTGGGGCAGGGGACAGGTCTGGGAGCGCTTTCAGGGCTTTCTCCAGAGGAACATGGGGAGCTATGGAAGACTCTGGAGGGACGGAGTGCTGGCAGGACCTGTCTTAGTTTTGAAAGGATTAGCCAGACTGCTGTGTTAGGAATGGTTTGGGGTGGGAAGATTCAGGGGTGAAGCTGGGTGACAATCAGAAGGCTACAGGAGAAACCTCTGAACAGGAGGATGTGGGCTGTGATGCCGGGATGCGGGTGTAAGCTGAGGCATGGCAAGAAGCAGGCAGCTGCCGCCAGTCAGGGGGTGGGATGAGCTGGATCCCAGCGGAGAGGGGAGAAGGCAGCTGACCCAGTGCAGGGAGGCCCCATTTGACCATCTGAAAGTCAGGAAGTGGGGCTCAACCAGGTCACAGTCTGCACCCCTGGTAAGTGTATCCTCCATTCACACTAACTTTATCACACAAACATGGCAAGAATAGTAAAAATCTCAGTAAAGGAAGAAAAGCCATCACTCATGCTTCCCCAGATTCCTTTCATTCTCTGGGGCAGGGATAGATGTCTTTGAACCAGATTGTTGATGAAGCACTTGGTTTTTTGCATGCCGCCCTTTTCCACTAAAAATTATGTCATTAAATTTAGTTTAGTAGTGTTCTTTTTGTAATCACACTTGACAGAGGAAAGCATTATATGATAAGCATTTCCCACATGTGTAATTCATGTGCAAGGCATGGTTCTGCCTGGGAGGCTTGTGGAGTTGCCCCCCTCCTCCTTGGGGTTGGCTGTGGAGTCTTCAGCGGTGACCTTCCGCCTTCAGCATGCCCCCTTTTCTGGATTATTTCTGGAGGACAGATCGAGGGCAGGCTCACTGTAGAGTGTGTTGTGGTTCCTGGCCCTGCTTCAGGGGTGATGTTGAGCGCCAGCTGCCGTGCAGGGCACGGAGCATGCGCTTTTGCCTCAACATCCGGCCTTCAGAGGATGATCAGCCTGGCGACGCACTGGACAAGGAGTTGTAGAGTGGCGATGCACACTAGGCGGTCAGAAATCATTATGCGTTAATGTCACATCATACCCCAGATGTCCACCGTGTTTGTTTTCAAGTGGTAGAATCGTGGCTTTATTTCTCACGTTCTCTAAAATGAACATATACATAATTTAAAAAAAAAAAAACTAACATTTTTTAAAAAGCAGCCAAGGTCACCAATATGGTGAAACCCTGTCTCTACTAAAAATACAAAAATTAGCCGGGCGTGGTGGCGGGCGCCTGTAGTCCCAGCTACTCGGGAGGCTGAGGCAGGAGAATCGCCTGAACCCGGGAGGCAGAGGTTGCAGTGAGCCGAGATGGCGCCACTGTACTCCCGCCTGGGCAACAGAACGAGACTCCGTCAGAAAAAAAAAAAAAAAAAAAACAGCAGCCAAGGCCAGTAGCTGGCTCTCTAGGGCTGCAGTGCGGCTTGATCTGACCCGGAGCCACCCTTCCCCACACAAGGGATCGAGGCCGGGTGAACGGAGGGGTGTCCCAGTCCCTACCGGTTGCTCAGGGTGCTGGTCCCCGCTCTTCCCCACCAGCATGAGTGAGAACGCAGCTGCAGCAGGACGTAAGCGCAAACTCGTGTTCGGAGCGCTGCGCTCACCTGTGGAGCGGAGGAGGGGAGGCCTGGGTCCTCGGCTGGCGTGCGGTGTGCGCCCCGCTCTGACCGCAGAGCCCCCTTCCCGAGAAAGGCGGCTGGCCCGCTCCCGGCTGGCGATCACGCGGGGCCCCTGTCTGCTTGGTGCGCAGGTGAGGGTCTGCCCTTCCGCTGCGCCCCGGACAGCCTGGAGGTGAGCACGCGCTGGGCCCTGGACCGCGAGCAGCGGGAGAAGTACGAGCTGGTGGCCGTGTGCACCGTGCACGCCGGCGCGCGCGAGGAGGTGGTAATGGTGCCCTTCCCGGTGACCGTGTACGACGAGGACGACTCGGCGCCCACATTCCCCGCGGGCGTCGACACCGCCAGCGCCGTGGTGGAGTTCAAGCGGAAGGAGGTGCTTGTTCGCGCGTGCTGTGGTCTACCCAGTGTCTGTCTCCCGCCGCAGTTCGTTTCTCTGTCGGTTTAGTGTCCGTGTAGCCACCCAATCATGTGGCCGACCATTCACGCGTTCATTTGTCCTTCGTCTCCGTCGGCCCCCTCTGTCCTAGGGGGAGGAGAAGGGGGAGTCCTGTCAGCACCCAGCGGGGCCTTGCCTTGGGAGGCTGGGAACCCTGGGTGCCCAGTCTGGGACTGACCAGGATGAGGCCCGAGGGCTCGCGTCTGGGGCACACTTGTGCCGCTGCAGGCGGGCGCGGCGCGCTGCCCGGGCGGGGAGCATCTGCCGGGAGGGCACTCCCTCCTACCAGCAGTCAGCCCCCAACGGGAGGGCCATTGAGTGACCAGGAGCGGTGCCGGGAATTGGAAAGGGACAGGAAGGCGGATCGCCGCTGGCCCGGCCCGGCCCCGCCCCGCCCCTCTCCGGTTCGCGCTGATGGAGCGCCACCGCCACCTGCTGAGCCTCAGGCCTTCCTGCAACCGGCCCACTCCGCCGGGGCCGTGGGAGAGTGGGCGTGGGGACTGAGGTAGTGCGTTACCTTGTGCCGCTTCTCTGGGCACACCACGTGCAGGTTTGGCAGGGAAAGGAGGTCTGACCGAAAGTACACCTTGTGAGTAAAGGCTGTGTGGGCCTCCCTGGGCCGCCTAGGGGTGACAGCAGAGGCCTGGTGCGCAGAGCCATCCCAGGTGCCCCGCGGCTTTCCTCACAACCCCCTCCAGCCTGGGGGAGGAGGATGCTTCGAGCAGAGCGCTTTGATGTACACCTGGCCTCGGATCTCGGCTCTGCCATCTGTTCCTGTGTGACCTTGACCTGACCTTCACCCTGTAGGGCCCAGCTTCCTCAGGGGAGAGTGGAGGTGCTCATTCTGCTCTCTAGGGACCTTGATGGGACCTGCCAGCAGGGTGCCTGGGCATCAGCTGTAATTCTCCCTATAAGAGGTCTACATTGCACCTGTTACACAGAGGGTCAGTGGCTCAAGGAAGGTGACTGGGCCAGGCTGGCCAGTGACCCCGTGGGAACTTGAATCTAGGTCAGACAGTCCCCATACCTGGCTCTGACAACGCACACCTGGTCCACCTGTGGGCTGCGTGGGACGTGCAGCATCCTGAGGTCTCTGGTTTTGGGGGGTCTGAGGGGCCACTCTCACCTGCACTGACCAACGCCCTCTGCATCCTGCAGGACACTGTAGTGGCCACTCTGCGTGTCTTCGATGCAGACGTGGTACCTGCGTCAGGGGAGCTGGTGAGGCGGTACACAAGCACGCTGCTCCCCGGGGACACCTGGACCCAGCAGACCTTCCGGGTGGAGCACTGGCCCAACGAGACCTCAGTCCAGGCCAACGGCAGCTTCGTGCGGGCGACTGTACATGACTATAGTAAGAGGGGCTGGTGGCATGGCCTGGCTGGGCCCCCAGGAAATGAGGTGCTCGTTCGTCATGGGCAAGCAGCACCCCACACACATGCACACCTGGCATGGCCCTCTGTGGCCCAAGCCACTTCCCCTCCACCCTCTTCGAAGCACTTCCTGTGTCTCTGCCAGACCTGCCCTCCAGCCACCAGCAGGGCTTTCACCATGGGTCCTCTCTCCCTGAGCTGCACCATGGCCGACCCTGGCAGGGCCCTACCACACCCCCATGCTAACCTCGCCAGGGCTCACCACTGATTGCAAACATACATGTCACCTGAGGCTTTCCTCCCGCCCCTGGCACTCCATCATTGCCCCTAAGGTATCTCAGATGCTTAGGGATTATTGCTCCAGCCTTATCAGCTCTCTGCTAAACAGTCTAGTGTACAGAAGCAGCCCCGAGCCAGGTCAGGGCTTCTGAGCCCATTGTCCTGCCTGACTCCTGACATGTGCCACCATGCTCACCTGCTTGCAGGGCACCTTTCAGCTGAGGCCTTGCTTCCTGCCTCCCTCCCCTACCTCCTGCTGATTTCTCCTGGGATCGCCTTCCAAATAAACCACCTGCATTTGGGGTCTGTGTCTGGGGGAACCCCAGGCCATGGGTCCTTCGCCCCTTTCTGCCTGGCCTGGTCCTGTTCATTCCTCAGTCCTCCCCACCTCACCAAGCCTATGGAGGCCCCACCTGTCAGAAGGGAGACAGCCTCCTTGCCCTGGCACTGAACACCCTGTCTGCCAGAGTGCCCCTCCCATCATTGTTTCCACCGCATGAGAACTAGAGCGGCAGCACGCGGCAGGTACACGGACGGCATGACTTCCAAGACTTGGCCTGCAGGGTCATTGGGTCTGCTGGAGGCTCCTGCAGTGGAGGGGAGTTCTGCCATGCTCTGGGGGAGCTGTTTGGAGGGCTCTAGCATGTTCTTCCCAGGGCCTTGGTAATGCAGACCTTTAAGCCCCCATGTCTCACACACACACACACACACACACACACACACACACCCTGTTACCCCCAAAAAACGAAACTCTGTAAAACATTTTAAAGAGGTTTATTCTGAGCCAAGATGAGTGACCACAACCTGGAGAAAACGCAAACCCAAGAAACCTTGAGTACGTGGTCCCCAGGTCCAAGGTGGTGGGGTTACAGTTTGCTTTTATACATTTTAGGGAGACAGGAGTTATAACCAAGGACATAAATCAACACTTGGAAGGTATGCATTGGTTTGGCCCCAAAATGCAGGGTATCTTAAAGCAGGGGCTTACAGGTTAGAGGTACATGCAGAGATTCTTTAATTTACAGTTGGTTGAAAGAGTTAAGCTTTGCCTAAAGACTTCAGGTCAGTACAGAGGAATGTTAAGGAGGCCTGCTATGTGTCGCGTGATGCTATACAGGGTCAGGATGGAAAGTAAACCGCGTTATACCTGGGTAATAAAAAAAAAAGGTTTTTAACAAGATTTTATGGGCCAGGCATAGTGGCTCACACCTATAATCCCAGCACTTCAGGGAGACCGAAGCGGATGGATTGTTTGAGTCCAGGAGTTCAAGACCAGCCTGGGCAACATGGTGAAACCCTGTCTCTACAAAAAAATACGAAAAATTAACTAGGCGTGGTGGCACATGCCTAGATTCCAGGAACCTGGGAGGCTGAGGTGGGAGGATGGCTGGAGCCTGGGCGGTTGAGGCTGCAATGAGATGCAACAGAGCAAGACTCTGTCTCAAAAAAGAAAACCAATGTTATGGTTTGTAGGGTGTTACTTAACCCTTGCCTGGCATGGCCTTAGGTCCTGTTTATAATTTGGTATCTTACTGCCACAAGAGTCTGTTCTGTCAGTCTTATGATCTCTGTTTTAATGTTAATGATGGTCAGTTGTGTCCAAACTCCAGCAGGAAGAGGGCCTAATAAGGCAAGTCCACCCTGCCTTCCTGTCGTGGCCCAGAATTCTGTTTTTAAGGTTTTTCTAGTGTCCTCTTGGCCAAGAGGGGATCTATTCAGTTGGTCTGGAGACTTAAGATTTTAATTTTAGTTTACAACTCGATACACAAACACCCCATACATACAGGCACAAATACCCTATGTACAGACACCACACACATGCATACTACACACTTACACATACCACGTACACGCATACCACACAAGCATATCATACACACAGACACCTCATAGAGTGCGTGCACATGCACACACACACACACAGGCTGCCTCAAACTGAGAAGGGTTCCCTGGACTTTCAGTTCAGCAAATCCCAACATTTGAACATTGGTGCTAACTTAGGACCAGCCCCAGGCCGGTCGCATGGCACTGTACGTGTGAAAGTGCATGTTTGCACCAGTGTGTGTGCAGAGCTGTGTCTGGGAAGAGGCATGCTACATATGAGGAAGCAGCCAGAGCAGCTCGGTGGTCATTGTTGTGCCCCCACCTGCAGGGCTGGTTCTCAATCGGAACCTCTCCATCTCGGAGAACCGCACCATGCAGCTGGCTGTGCTGGTCAATGACTCGGACTTCCAGGGCCCAGGAGCGGGCGTCCTCTTGCTCCACTTCAACGTGTCGGTGCTGCCGGTCAGCCTGCACCTGCCCAGTAGCTACTCCCTCTCTGTGAGCAGGAGGGCTCGTCGATTTGCCCAGGTGAGCCCACACCCACTGCCCGTCTGGGGAAGATTGAAGGGCCAAGGGACATGGGGGCACAGGGAGGCAGGTGACACTGCCTCTTGGCCCAACCAGCACAGAGTAGACTGGGTGGAGTCCTGAACCCAGGGCCAGGAGGTACAGCTGGGTGCACAGAAGAGGCCTGGGAGAGCTCACAGTGGGCGGGGCTAGGGGCTCCTTGGGCCTCTCTTTTTTCCCCCTTTCCATTCTTGGTATCTTTAAAATGCTTTTTCAAAAATGCAAGAGCAATGCTGGGTAAATCTACATATATGGTGACTTGGAAAAATCTTCCTGGTAAATTGGTAAGTGAGAGTGGCTTGCAGAGATGTTGGTCCCACGTGACTCCCTTTGTGCAAAAGCAGATCTTTCCTGACGGGGATCTGCAAGTGTGCAGAGATCACAGTGCTGTCCACAGTCATGCCCTCAGGGGGAGGCAGAAAACGCTTCCACTTTTTACCTTTTGTAACTAGGTTTGCTAAAAAGCGTACATTTATATTTGTCTTTGGAAAATAATGATTAGAAAGAGAAAACATAAAAGTAATAAATACTCATTAAAGAAGATGAGGCATGAGGTGTGATCCCTTCTGCCTGCAGGTGCCAGTGTTGCACGTCATGGCGTTCTTTCTGGGATGTTTCTCGTAAGCACTTATTAAGTTGACTTGAAACTGCAGCACGCATGGTCTCACATGCCGCTCTCCCTCGCAGAGCAGCCCGCAGCGCCTCCTCTTCAGAGGGCCATTGGCCAGTTCTTTCAGGTGGTTCTGTGCCCACATCAGCTCCTGTCAGCCACCTGTGTCCAGCCCATAAGGGAGCCCACCCTTGGACATATCCAAGCTCCCCGACCACCCACATGGCCTTTAATGGGAGAGGGATCAGAGACGGAGGGGCGACAAGGCAGAGGGACCTGGGGGTCTCACAGGGGGCAGGGCAGGAGCAGGCATTGCTGGAGGTGAGTCACCTGCCCTCTGTCAGGCTCAAGAACAACGAGGGCCTGAATCCCAGTCCAGCCTCAGCCTCACTGTGGTCTCACCCCTCTCCCCAGTTTGTAAAGCTGTGAATTAGGGACAGGAACCCTGGACAATTTGGAGAGTCACAAGAGAATTTGGAAGTGGGCTTTGTAGGAGGAAGTGAGGAGGCCCAGGAGGCTGGTTTTTGCTGTGGTCACATGGGCCTGGGAGAGCCCAGCCCTACTCTGACTGGCCCCTGTCTCACCATCTGTGGAACTTTTGGTTTCAAGCAACTGCAAGAGTTGCCATGAGGCTGAAAGAATTCAGCTGCCTGGCTCCAGGACCTGGCATCCCCAGGAGAGGCCCCTCTTTCCCAGGGGCTCTGGTCAAAGTCCCAGGGAGGCCCCTTGGTCCTGGCTCCAGGACCTGGCATCCCCAGGAGAAGAGGCCCCTCTTTCCCAGGGACTCTAGTCAAAGTCCCAGGGAGGCCCCTTGGTCCTGCATGGGCTGGGGCAACCATGCTCCCGAGTGTTGTGGCTGGGGTTCAGTGCTCTGACCAGGGGACACCAGGGCAGGGTGGACCTCTAAACCCTGTGCACTGAGGGAGGAGTAAGGGGTCCCCAGAGCACTGCTGGGGCACCTGGGGAGGAGCGTGGGAGACATTCTGGTGGCCTTGGTGTCTGAGTGAGGGAGAAAAGGGGAGTAAAGGGTTAAGTCAGGGCCTGCCTGGGGCTTTTCCTGCCACCAAACTGAACCTCAAGGCCCTGGGTTACTTTGACCTCCAGCTCCCAGGAACAGAGGCAGCTGGTGACATGTGGCCTGAGTGGAGCTGGGCAGGGCAGGGCCGGGGCAGGTGGGTGGGTCTGCAGGCTCTGAGGGGATGGAGGACAGGGTGCTCAGCGGGGCTGCTGTCTCCAGGTTCAGTTGGGGGCTGTTCCAGAACTCAGGCTGTGTGGGAACCTCTACCCTCAGGCCACTGCAGGCCGGTCCAGCAGCCTGGTTAAGGTGTTCCCCTGTGCCCCCCTAGATCGGGAAAGTCTGTGTGGAAAACTGCCAGGCGTTCAGTGGCATCAGTGTCCAGTACGAGCTGCATTCCTCCGGCGCCAACTGCAGCACACTAGGGGTGGTCACCTCGGCCGAGGACACCTCGGGGATCCTGTTTGTGAACGACACCAAGGCCCTGCGACGGCCCAAGTGTGCTGAGCTTCACTACATGGTGGTGGCCACCGACCATCAGACCTCCAGGCAGGCTCAGGCCCAGCTGCTTGTCACGGTGGAGGGGTCGTGTGAGTGCCTGCTCCAGGAAGGAATGGGTGGGCGACCTGGGGGCTTCCGGAGCCTGGGCCTGCTGCCCTTTGAGAAAAACAGTACAGCTGCAAGGCTTAGCTGGGGAGTGGGGAAGGCATGGACCAGCTTTACCCTGAGTGACCCAGCAATAAATGGTTGTCCCTTCCAGATAACATACAGGACCTTGGTTAAATTTGAATTTTGGGTAAACAACAGGCAGTTTTTTGGTATAGGTGTGTTCTATGCAACCTTTGCAGCTTCTCGAAAGACACACCTCCAGGCCCATCCATGCCCTCTTAGGAACATGCTGAGCAGCTGCCATTCATGCCATTCATTGTGTATCTGAAATGCAGGTCCCACAGGGCATCCTCAGCGTCGCTGGCCGAATCTGGCTGCCCTCACATCCTTCCTCCTGTACTTACCCCAGCCCAGGTGACCCCCGCTTTGTGACCATGATGTCCTGTACCCTGCCCTGTGCTCTGTGCTCCTGGCACTGGCTTTGCTGTCCTGGGTCTGCCACTCCAGTCCCCTTGGGCTCCATCTGTGAGGCAGCTCAGCTGGTACTGTTCCCTGTCCTTGGGCACTGGCTGGGCGCTGGACCCAGGCCAGCCCCCTGTGACCCTGCTTGTCTGCCACCTGCAGATGTGGCCGAGGAGGCGGGCTGCCCCCTGTCCTGTGCAGTCAGCAAGAGACGGCCAGAGTGTGAGGAGTGTGGCGGCCTGGGCTCCCCAACGGGCAGATGTGAGTGGAGGCAAGGAGATGGCAAAGGTAGGTCCTGGAAACGCCCGAGGGATGCCTGCAGGGGCAACGGCACCGGTAGAAACGGGGTCCTGGGGCCCTGCCAGCCTGGGGTGGCTCTCCCTGCTCCAGATCTGCTTCTGGCACCTCATCCCCCACGTGGCTCACGATGCCAGCATAATGGGCAGCAGTGCAGGGCTAGGGAGAGGGCTTGTGAATACAGCAAATGGTCCCCAGGCTGGAGTCACTCTGGACTTGGGAAGGTCTGAACCGAAGTTGGGATGTGCTGGGGACAGAATGGCCTTTTCTGGGAAGTCCTCGTCCAGGGGATGTGGTGTGGGCAGGGGACTCATTGTCTGCATCAGCCAGAGGCCAGCCTGGGTGTGCCCACCACCATGAGGGGCCCTCACTGTGCAGCCCTGAGAGGGTCCTGGCCGCTTTGCTGTAAGGGCCACCTGTGTGAGGAACCCCCCATACCTCCTCTCCCATAAGCTGTGGCTCCCCAGGATGCTTCCGCTGGCAAGGCTCTGTGTGTGGTGTTTCCCTGCTCAGGGCTCCATTTGCTCCTCCCTAGAGGGGCAGGATCGGCCTAGGAGGTGGTGGGGGCATGTGGCAGGGCTCCCACGTGGGTGACAGCCTGCTGTGTGTCCTGTGCAGGGATCACCAGGAACTTCTCCACCTGCTCTCCCAGCACCAAGACTTGCCCCGATGGCCACTGCGATGTCGTGGAGACCCAAGACATCAACATTTGCCCCCAGGACTGCCTCCGTAAGCAGGGTTTAATGAGGGCATGGGAACAGGTAGGAGATAGTAGGGGAAACCTGGATCCCACATGCACTTCAGCCAGAGTTGCCAGGGCTGTCAGTTTTATGCATCAAGCTGAGCCTCTTGTGCATTTCAGCGTCACCCTGGCCATGGGGAGGGAGCAGGGAGGGTCAGGGACGGGGGGAGGCAGGGACACACAGACTGTCCAGGTCCCTGCTGAGGCCCCAGAAATTGGCATACACAGATTTCAGAAGCAGAGAATGGTCAGTAGGGACACTGACAGGGAAAGTGTGGCCCTGAGCTAGACAAGGGACCCTGCAATGTGCTGGTCAGGCCACCAGGCTCCAGTTTTGGAGGCAGAGTCCTTTGTTCAGATGAAATGTTAGGAGGGGGCCTGGCTTCACCCATGGCTTCAGAAAGGCACTGTGACCGAACCCTGCCCGGCTGAGCCAAGCTGCTGGGCGCCTGGCCTCCCTGGGCCTATGCTTGCAACACCAGTTGGGGAGGGGGCTCCTTGGGACAGTGCCCTCGAAATATGGGGGCCTGGGGTGGTCAGGCACCCCAGGGGGCTGAGTGGGCTATGTCTGCCCTTAGGGGGCAGCATTGTCGGCGGGCATGAGCCCGGGGAGCCCCGGGGGATTAAAGCTGGCTATGGTACCTGCAACTGCTTCCCTGAGGAGGAGAAGTGCTTCTGCGAGCCCGAAGACATCCAGGGTGAGTGGGTGGCAGCCACGACCACCCCCACCTCCTGGGCCCATGGAGGTCTCAACAGCACATCTGAGGTCCCAACAAGGGAGGAAATTGCTGGGAGGCGAGTGGGCCCCATGAGACTTCCCTCCCTCCCTCTGGGCCTCTGTTACTCCATTGGTGCAACCCAGGAGAGGGGCCAGAGCACCTATAAAGTGTCCTCTGGCCTTAAGTTCTATGATGAACAGGCCAGAAAAGCAGTTCTTCCACCAAACAACTTGTCAGGGTGACAGGTCACTATCCCTGTGACCATGCATCTGGGACCCACCCAGGAACACATTTCAAGGTCAACAGGTATGGTGGGTGGCACAGCCACACTGACTATACTCAGGGATGCAGTTCTGCCTGAGCACAGGGACACATTTCTGGTATTGAGTTTTCCGGTATTATATAGCCCTACATCATGAGCCACTTAACATTTTCATAAAGAAAATGCCAAAGACATTTGGAACAGAGGAAAATTTTAACCTCCCCTGCCAGCCCTCCAGTGCCAACTGGTGTAGTGAGCATAGCCTCTGCTGTGTGACCTTGGCAGGCTGCTCAGCCTCTCTGAGCCTCTGTCACCATCTGTAAGAGGGCAATAGTAGTCTAGGAGGGGGCAGTAAATGGCAGTACCCATGCCCAATGGGGTGTTCTCAGGCCTTCCCACACCTTCATGGCCACTTCCCCACTGGTGCGGACATGGTTGGCTGGAGAGCCATGCGGTGGAGCATGAGCAGCCTGTACCCAGTGGTGCCAAGCCTCTGGGCCTGGAGCCTCACACCACCCCCACCCACAGATCCACTGTGCGACGAGCTGTGCCGCACGGTGATTGCAGCCGCCGTCCTCTTCTCCTTCATCGTTTCGGTGCTGCTGTCTGCCTTCTGCATCCACCGCTACCACAAGTTTGCCCACAAGCCACCCATCCCCTCAGCTGAGATGACCTTTCGGAGGCCCGCCCAGGCCTTCCCGGTCAGCTACTCCTCTTCCGGCGCCCGCCGGCCCTCGCTCGACTCCATGGAGAACCAGGTCTCCGTGGATGCCTTCAAGATCCCGGTGAGGGTCCCTATGGGGCAGGGAAGACCACCTGCCCTCCCCAGATGCCTTTCAGGGAGGGAGGCCAGCTGGGGAGAGGAGGCTATCCCGTGAGGGACTGCCAACACTGGGCAGACGAGGCCCGTGCTCTGCCCCTATTTCTGTAGGGTGCTGTGTGGGGACAGTCTGTGGGGTGGAACTATGATGAGGTGCTGTTCCCATCCAGGTGAGAGGCAGTGGTCAGGGTCGCAGCATCGGGCAGGGGAGCAGCAGTGTGGACGGAGGGACACTGAAATCAGAGGGGGGTGCCTCTCTGGAGAGCCTGGCGTGCAGGTCTGCGTGTGCTGCTTAGAGCCTCCAGGCTGTGCTGAGCACCCTGGAGCCTCCCTGTCCCGGCCAGGCCTGCTGTGTGGTGCTTCTGCCCTCTTCTGGTGGTGGCCTGCCCCTTCAGTGTCCCCACTAGCACTGTCCAGGGCGCTGGAAGCCAAGCCTCGTTCTGGGAGGAAAAGAGGCTCAGAGCCAAGGGTGTGAGTGAACGGTGAGCCATGCAGCTTATGGTGGCGTGAATATCTCCTCGGCAGGAGCCTCCAGGGAGGAAACTGAGCACCCAGTGGCCACAGGGCCCTGGCAGTTGCCATCTCAGGCTGGGAGGTGACCTGGGATTCCTGGGAGGGGCCACATCCCACAGCACAGCTCAGCCTGAGGCCTCGGCCCTGGAGCCTCCGTTCAGGCAACACCCAGCCCTCGGTAAGGGTATGGGCCAAGGAGGCCTTCCCAGATGTGGCCACTGCCACTTCCCCACCAGCTTTCCTAGTTGGTGGTTCCCGTCCTGGCCTGGCCGCAGCTTACTCTCGTGGCAGGCCTCTAGGATGAGCCTCCAGAGCCCTTCATAAACCCAGCGGGTTTGTGCGAGGCTGCCCAGGAAGGCCACACTGGTCTGGGCTGCTGCTGGCAGAGACCACCACCCTAACCCCAATCAGCTCCAGAGTCACACTCATCAGCAGCAGGTCTTGGACCCGTGACTCAACCTCAGTTTTTGAGAGGATCAGGTTGATGTCGCCCTCATGTGCTTACTGCAGTCTCTGGAGTGTGGTAAAGGGGTTTCCAGTGCCAGCTGTGGAGGTGACAGCCGCAGGGAAGCCATGGCGATGTTGACACTGACCTTGACTGTGGCTTCCCAGGGAACAGGGGGCCAGACCAGGACAGCCCAGGAGCAGGAGATCGGGGGTGACAGATGCCCATAGCTGGCACATCGGGGGAGGGTTCCTGGATCCTGGCAGGCTTTGGCCTCCCTGGTCAGAGTTCAAGCACTGGGGGTGGGGGTCTGGGAAGGCATCCGAAGCAGTCCCAAGTGGGCCCGATGTGTGGATAGAACTTTGATGGGAGGGCAGGGTGGTGGTGCCAGCAGGCAGAGTAAACAGGTACGTGAGGGCAGGTGGCAGCCCTGGAGGAGCAGTGGTTCCACACTTGGAGGCAGAACATGGTGGCGCCTTTCTTTGCAGGGGTGGCTATGTAGAGAAGTTGCCCTGGACACTTCCACTGTAGCCGGAGGTCCTGGGCTGGACCAGTGCTCATTTAGTCCTGGGGCAGCGGTCAGGGGAGACAGTAGACCGAGAGCCAGAGACGGTCAGAGTACTGAGTCCAAGCCATGCTGTGACCACACCTGTCATGTAGCAGCTCTCAGGGGCCTGGCTGTGGGGTCCTGCCCTGGACAGAGACAGGCAGCATTGCCTCTGGCTCAGATGACAGCTGGTTCTCTGCACATTGGAACTTGTCCATGGGGGCTCCTTTAAGGGTCTTGCCTTCTTCCTCCCCTGTCATCCTTACACTTTTCTCCCTCTTCTCCCACTTCCTTCATTTCCAACATAGGAGGATCCAAAGTGGGAATTCCCTCGGAAGAACTTGGTTCTTGGAAAAACTCTAGGAGAAGGTGAATTTGGAAAAGTGGTCAAGGCAACGGCCTTCCGTCTGAAAGGCAGAGCAGGGTACACCACAGTGGCCGTGAAGATGCTGAAAGGTACCTGCCAGGCACAGGCACAGTACACCTGGGGGAGTCTCTGGGGCGAGGGGGCGGGGTGAGGCCCCTCCTGCCCAGCATGGGACCCCGAAGAGCCCCCATTGCTGTTTTAGAGCGGCTGCAGTTGGGGGACCCCTCCCATGGACCACTTGGGCCTAGAGAAGCAGAGCGAGGACTTTGTTCTCCCTGGAAGGCTCTAGCGGTGCTGCTGTGCCAGTGCCACTGAAGATCTAAGCTTTAAACATTTAAAAAGCCCTTTGGTTTTGAGCTGATAGCCATCTTCACTCCAGTCTACCCCATTCATTCCTCTCAGCCCAGTGTCTCCTGGGGTCCTGGTGAAGAGACCACCAGTAAGGACTGGCCCTCAATCTCAAGAGACCCCCCCCATGGGCCTATCTCGCCTGCATGCCCAGTCATGCCACAAGTTTGGCTCTTGATGGGCACATGCACCTACCCGCACAGGCCTGCATGTCTGAGGCTGGTGACTGCACTGAGTGGCCCCCTCTTCTGTGGCCAGGCCCCAGTCCTGTGGACAGCCAGGCTGAATGGCAGTGAGGGAGAGTAGTTGGTGTACACAAGAATTATTTGCAGTAGTCAGGGGCTGCACAGCACAAGGTGCTTCCAGATGCCTACCCAGCCCCTCAGACTGGGTTCACCTCCAAGCCAGTAAAACCCTGGACTTTCCAGGGATACGGGGAGACCCTTGGATTTCCTTCAGCCATGCACAGCCCCAGGCCGCCCACACCTGATCCAAGGGGTCCTGGGGCCCCAACTCCCCAACTCCTCCTATGTTGGAAATGTCCTCTCCCTTCCAGACAATCCTTCAGGACAGAGGAGGTGGCACGGCACAGCTGGGCAGTGGGACAGCTGACCTGGGAGGGATGGCTTAGCCATGTATTCTGACTCTTGGAATACCTTCAGGCCCAGGCACCTGCTGGGCATTCCAGGACAGCACTGGCCACCTTCGGGACGCGTGTGCTGGGCAGGCCACCCCTGTGGTGCCTCGTCCTCTTTCCATCATGCCTCTACAGTTAGACTCTCTGGGGAATCATGCTGTTCATTAAGAATAAGCCAGAATGTCAGGTGTTCAGTGCACTGGTAACACTGTTTTATCTCAGGTGCTAATGTGGGTCTTCTTAGTAACTAACGGAGTTTGAGCTGCTGACATGCGTGTGTGATGGATACATCAGCAGCATGGGAGATGCCTGGGCTCCAGGCTGGCCATCTCAGACGGGAGTGGGAAACGGGGAGCCTGATCGTGGTGTGTGGACCTCCTTCATGGCTCTCCACCTTCTCCAGGGCCTCTTCCCACAAGTCAGCGTGGGTACCTGGGGGAGTCCCCTCACCTTTCCAGAAGGATTAAGGAGGGGGATTTCTGTGGACCACTGTCTTCTAAAGACGACTACAGGAACATAATGTCACATACACAGGTGGCCCAGCCCTGGGACACTGGGGAAAGATCTGGCATGTGTGGATGCTGGCTCCTCAGGGTGCTTCTTCCTCAGGGCGGATGAAGCCCCTGTCCACTGACCCCAAAGGCTGGGAGAAGCCTCAAGCAGCATCGTCCTTGCAGGCCTCTCTGTCTGAACTTGGGCAAGGCAATGCCGGTCCATCCTGACCGGTATGGTCATGGAAGAGGCTTCCAGGAGGGATCGTTTGCAACCTGCTCTGTGCTGCATTTCAGAGAACGCCTCCCCGAGTGAGCTGCGAGACCTACTGTCAGAGTTCAACCTCCTGAAGCAGGTCAACCACCCACATGTCATCAAATTGTATGGTGCCTGCAGCCAGGATGGTAAGGCGAGCTGCAGGGTGAGGTGGGCAGCCACAGCACCCAGGCTGGGGGCTCCATACGGCCCTGTTCTCCCTCTTTCTTCCTTTCCTGACTGCTCCTGCCCTGTTTCCTATTCTCCCTCTTTCTGGAAGCCTGGCTCAGGCCCCAGCCTGGAGCTTGTGTCTAGCTGAGTCCACGGGCTTAGTAGGCACTTCCCATCAGAGGGGCCGCGTGCTAGTGGCACTCCGTGGGCCCAGAGGGCTACTCAGAGGTCTCTGGTGTGACATTGCCATGTGTCCTCACCCAGTTCCGGGCTGAGCTCGCAGTGCAGGGAGCTCTAGGAATGGCCAGTGCATCCTGGGTACTAGGGTACCCTGGGTACCACAGGGCACTAGGTGTGCTGTGACCTCAGGTGACCCCAACCCCGCCCTGCGTGACAGGAACTTTGCCACCATTTCTCAGATAAAGATCCAGGAGACCAGCCTGGTTTGTTGGTTTTCCAAACCACCGTGCTGCTCAGGGGCTTCCCAGCATGCATGTGCGGGTGTGTGTGAGAGGGATAGGGAAACACCGGGAGCACGCAGTAGGCATTCTGCTCAGCACCAGTAGAGTTGGAGGCTGGACCTGGGGCAGGACAGGCGGGAACAGGGAGCAGGCTGCGTCCAGAGCCCAGCGCCAGGCGGGAACCCTTGCATCTGCGCAGGTCTCTGCCTCCATCAGCACCCCCAGCCTGCACTGGGGCAGGACCCAGGAGGCAAAAAGGCATGGGGTCCTAGCATCAGGGAGGGGTGCCTCCCAGGGCAGTGTCACCTGCCTCAGGCAACTCTAGAAGGAGGTGCCCACACGAGCAGCAGGAGGCAGAGAGCAAGTGGTTCAAGAGAGAACTGAGACTTCAAGGTCTTCGATCTCCACGGAGCTGCAACTGTACTGCCCGAGGCAGGGCTGTGTCTGCCCCCTTACTCATTGGGTGGCTGGGCCTGGGGGTCCTGCAGCCTCCCACTCCGGCTCCCGAAAGACCGGAGCTGCCTGACCCACACGCCCAGGGCCCCCTTTCTCCACCCCCAGGCCCGCTCCTCCTCATTGTGGAGTACGCCAAGTATGGTTCCCTGCGGGGCTTCCTCCGTGAGAGCCGCAAGGTGGGGCCCGGCTACCTGGGCAGTGGAGGCAGCCGCAACTCCAGCTCCCTGGACCACCCAGACGAGCGGGCCCTCACCATGGGCGACCTCATCTCATTTGCCTGGCAGATCTCACGGGGGATGCAGTACCTGGCCGAGATGAAGGTGCGTGCATATGGCTGTGCACCCAGCCAGCCCCGGTCAGGCCACACCCTGACCCACCATGTCCCTGCCACTCACATCCTGGCCTGCCACGCCCCCACCATGCCCCGCTCTAACCCGCCACACCCCTGCCATGCCACACCCTGACCCCACCACGCCCCTGCCATGCCACCCCCCTGGCCCAGGTCTCACCAGGCCGCTACCCAGGCCATACCCTACCCCTCTGCTGGTCAAACCAGACTGAGCCAGTGACCGCTGCCGCCGGGCCATGGCCTGAGGACTTGTGCTGTTTTTCCTCGCAGCTCGTTCATCGGGACTTGGCAGCCAGAAACATCCTGGTAGCTGAGGGGCGGAAGATGAAGATTTCGGATTTCGGCCTGTCCCGAGATGTTTATGAAGAGGATTCCTACGTGAAGAGGAGCAAGGTGCCCAGTCCTGGGGGTGAGGCAGGGCTCCCGGAGATCCCAGCTGCACCACAGGGCGGGCAGTGCCCTTGAGACACCTAGGAAAGATACCGAAGATTTGTGGAACTCTAAGTTTTTTATAGCCCTCACCCCAAATCTTTCTGACCCTGGGTCCCCAAGGACCCAGTTAGGACTCCGCTCAGCCTCTGGCATGTCCTTCTCCTCCAGGGCCTTGAGGGCACCCCTCCCCTGCAGCACTGACTGAGGTCCTTGCCACACTTTTCAGAGGCCACCTCATGCTGCGGAACTAACAGTCCTCTTCTGCAGAATAAAGGTCACCGTTCTGATGTGACCTTAGCTCTTTTCTCAAAGAAAGGTGGAATGAAATTAGCAGGATCGTCATTCTTTGCAGAAAGGAATGTACTGCTTTACAAGTGAGGCTTCTCCTGCACAAGGGCCTTGGATGCTGGGCTGGGTGAGTTTAGAGGCATAGGAACCCCCTGGACAGGATCCAGAAACGCAGCCCAGCTTTGTCCAAGGCTATGAAACAGGCAGTGGGCACCCTTGAGGACACCTGGTTCCCTACCGTGGTCCTAGTCCCAGGACAACTGCCTTGGCCCTCTTAGTTTTTCCGCCCATGTCAGCCCCTCTCCTGCAGCCTCCCAGTGGCAGCCCAGGCAGGTCAAGTTCAAGGGGCTGCTCAAAGGCCATGCTACCCAGATGTTCAGAGCAGACCCTGCTCAAAAAAGAAGAAAACAAAACAAAACAAAACACACACACACACACAAAAGGCAACTTCCTATGATTCAGCTTTGCTCTGAGGGGTCTGGAAAAGTCATTTGTGTTGCCAGGGGTTGTGAGTTGTTCAGTTTCTTCTGGGGTTTCCCTTGTGACAGCCGATCTCAGAACTGCTGCAGGGGAAGGGGTAGGGGTTGGCCCGGGCTCTGTGGAGGGTGTGGACACAGCCTTCCTGTTGATGTACTGGTCCTCCAGGGAGAGAAGCTGAAGGCATTCCTACACAAGGTGTGCAGGCTGCACTGTCACACACTGCTACCAAGACAGCCACAGTGCCCTAAGGACATAAATCCCTAATGTGTTAAGTAAAAGAAGTGACAGTAATGTTGTGTTACAACCTAAGGCACACATTTTAAAAATGGACTTGCACCTTCAGGCTTGTCTGTGGAGAAGCTGTTTCTCAAGTTACCCTGGAAAGGATTTGTTAGGTCAGACCCCAGCACTGATGAGGGATGTAGGAGGCTGGGGGCACTCATTCAGAGATACTAAAAGCACCCTGCAATACAATAAGAGAGAAAAAACAGCCTCCCCCAAGGCACACAGACAAATCCCTTCCCTCAAGGCTCTTTCAGTGTGGTAGCTGCTGGCAAAGTGCCCAACATGGAAATGCTAGATGTTGGTTTCCCAAACACATTGGCCCTCAGAACCCTAGCAGAGATCTTGCTGGAGGAGTTCCAGGCCCATGCATAGGGAAGCACTGCTCTACACCACCAGCAGACCTGTGTCGTGTGACAAACTGGCCCTATGTGGCTGTGGGCGGGCAGCTGACTCCCGCCAGCATCTCAGCAATCCCCAGGAGGTTCAGGCTGAAGCTCCGGCCCCTTCAAAGCTGTGTGTGGCCAGCTCTGTGCCCAGGAGTGTCTACAGCACTCTGGCTGCTGAAAGCTCAGGGATAGGGCCTGGCCTTCTCCTTCACCCCTCCTTCCTAGAGCGTCAGAGTAACTTAAATGTCTTTCTTCCATCCCCTCTTTAGGGTCGGATTCCAGTTAAATGGATGGCAATTGAATCTCTTTTTGATCATATCTATACCACCCAAAGTGATGTGTAAGTGTGGGTGTTGCTGTCTTGGGGTGGGGGTTACAGAAACACCCTTATATGTGTAGTCGGGTCACGACGCCCATCTATGCAGTTTGGCCAGGGAATTGCACTGGCCCTGAGCACCTGTCTGCAGTGTCAGCCCTCCACAATGACCCCCTCACTGAGGGGACTTCATGATGTATTCATGAGGCGAATGGCTGGGCCAGGCCAGGCTGCAGTTCTGAAAGCTCCAGTAGAGCATGAGAGCAGAGCAGGTGGCCAGTAACCCAGCCTCCCCCGCCCTTGCCAGCCCCACGCCTCCCTCTGGGCCCCTTGGTGACTCACAGGCCCAGCCCAGCAGTTACCCTCCTGTGGTCCTGAGTAGGGCTTTGGGCTCAGGCAGAGTGCCCAGTGACTTGCCCCCACCCACAAGTGGAGCTTGGGGACTCCACCTGAAGATGGCCTTGTGTGAGTTTATAGATTGGTGTGCCCCAAACTGCTCAAAGGTGAAAGCCAAAAATTCATTATTCAGGTCCAATGACAAGAGCTGATCACTTTCAAAACACAGGATTCTTGCCTCTAAAGTGTTCTATAGTCAGCAGAGGTGTGATGTGCATCTCTTTTTTTTTTTTTGATGGGAGAATAGGGTCTCACTCTGTCACCCAGGTTGGAGTGCAGTGGCACAATACTGGCTCACTGCAACCTCCACCTCCCGAGTTCAAGCGATTCCTGTGCCTCAGCCTCCTGAGTAGCTGGGATTACAGGCACGCGCCACCTCTCCTGGCTCATTTTTTTGTATTTTTTAGTAGGGACAGGGTTTCACCATGTTGGTCATGCTGGTCTCGAATCCTGACCTCAAATGATCCGCCCACCTCAGCCTCCCAAAGTGCTGGGATTACAGGCGTGAGCCACCACACCTGGCCAACACGTGCATCTTAAATACTGTGGGCTGTGAGCAACCATTTGGACAACAGCTTCCCAATTACATAAGCTGAGTGTAGGCTAGTTGGAAAAGGCAGAGAGAAAAGCATAAAGAAGAGACTGAATGTCACTGGACCACACCACACAGTGACCTCTGGCTGCCCTCTGGTGTGCTCTGTGGTGTGCACATGTATGCTTTTTATTGCCCTAAATGGGCTCATGCGATGCTGTTTTGTGATATGATATTGTTCCCATTGCACAGCAAGTTTTCCTTCACAGTTAAAATGTTTTTCTATAGCTTTTTTCCTTCTAAGATTTTATGAAATTTTCCAAGCACATAGAAATGGTGAAAGAACTATATAAGGCACTCTGAGTCTGGTGGTCTGCATTCTCACCCCTTTAAGTGCCAAACCTCATGTGCTTCTTGTGGGTGTGGCTGCTCCAATGGGAGTGGCTTGGGCAGGGACTTCAGCTTCATGGAGTAGGGGCCAGGCAGGCAGGCAGCCCTTCCGCACCTTCATACTACATCCATCTGAGCAACCAGACCCAGGCTGACATCTGTGAGCATCTGTGTTTGGGGCGGACAGGGTCAGTAGGTGCTTGGTGGTGGGGATTGACATCTGGGCCCCCCGGAGGGCACTGTGAGGGCCAGGTGGAGCCACTCACTGGTCTTCTCGCTCTCTGCAGATGGTCGTTCGGTGTCCTGCTGTGGGAGATTGTGACCCTAGGGGGCAACCCCTATCCTGGGATTCCTCCTGAGCGGCTCTTCAACCTTCTGAAGACCGGCCACCGGATGGAGAGGCCAGACAACTGCAGCGAGGAGATGTGAGCGGGAACCGGCTTTGGCCCAGCCTCACTTGGGAAGGGAGGGGACACCTGTGTGCATTCCCTCCCCATCCAGAGCAGCCCCAGGAGAAACCAGAAGTGGGGGCTGGGGAGTGGGCAGGGCAGAGGTTAGAGAGCCATCCTTGGGTGTTGCCATAGATGCTGGGGGTCCTACCCTGCTGAGGGCTGGTGGGCTTGCTAGGGGGTCTTATAAAAATGAGCGAGAGCAGGGACTGGTGCAATACAAGCTCGAGGGCTGAGAGCTGTCCCAGCATGACACTTGGGGAGGAGGTGGTAATTCCAAATGGCCCAGGGGGCACGTGTTAAGGGGTGCCTGAGTGGAGGTACAGAGCCAGGCAGGGGCAGCCTGGGCTGCAACCTGAGAGGTTGAAGTCTTTACACTCTTGGGAGAGATGGTCTTAGAAACCAGGCCGAGAACAGATGAGAAAGGGCTGCCCAGAGGCAGAGATGCTTGGTCCATGCATTCCATAGAGTGGGGCGTGGAGGGGGCATCCTGGGCCAAGAAGCCAGGCACCACCTCCCTGGGCCCCCAGCTGGTGGCCAGTTGGAGCACTGTGGTCTGCCTGGGCACCCAGCAAGCAAGGACAGTGCAGGACAGACATGTGATTGCCAAAGGTTCTTGTTTGTCTGTCTCCACACCTAAAAGCCCTCAGTCAATTCATCCTTCTTGAGAGTTTTAAGGACGGGCACTTATCACTTAGCTGCCAGAGCAGGCATAGTATCCAGTGAGCTGTTTACCAGTGTCTTTGCAAGGGAAGTAAAAATGAATCTCCCTTGGAGGGAAGGGAAGCCTATAGGATTCTGGACCACAGCTCTGGGAGACCTGAGCACAGTGGCCCATGGGCTGGGATCCTGCAGACAGGCCATGCCCCAGTCCCAGCAAGGCTCAGAGATGTCAGCGATGCAGAAATAGCTTTGGGGTTGGAGACAGAGCACACTGGGCCCAGGGTGCAGGGCAGGGTGCGGTGACTGTGGTGGGCTGTCCTTCCGAGACCTGGTCTTGCTTGGGTCACATTGGCCTGTCTGCTCTTCCCACCAGGTACCGCCTGATGCTGCAGTGTTGGAAGCAGGAGCCAGACAAAAGGCCAGTGTTTGCGGACATCAGCAAAGACCTGGAGAAGATGATGGTTAAGAGCAGAGTGAGTACCTGGGGCCAATTCCCACCAGCTGAAAGTGGCATGGGAGACTCCAGCCTCACCCCAGGCAGTGGTTTTAGCCCTCAGAGTTCCCAGTGGGAGGCCACAGTGGGATTGTGCAGAGAGAGACAGTCATGCTCTCCCCTGCGTGCAGACAGCAGACTGAACCCTTCTCAGGCCAGGCTGCTTGGGCTTCTTTTCAAGTCATGAAGAAACCAAGATTCTTGACATTTAGGAAGAGCTCTCTACAGACAGGCATGGGAGGAAAATATTCCAAAGCCAAAAAAAATTGTTTTCCATAATGGAAAATGAGAAAGTCGAGTTGAAGCAAGTGCCCAAAATTCAGATGCCCAGAGGGGAGCCCAGCTGGGGGAGGGCAGTGAGTAAGGAGCAGTGGAGACTGTGACAAACAGCCAGGCCCCTCCAAAAGGTTCCTTGCTGGGGTACCTGTGGCCTGCAGAGAAAGGAGCCAGGAATGGACCGGGTCTTCTGAATTTTACGAGGTTTATGTTGTCTCCCAGTTTTTATTGTTAACAATTCATTTAAATTTCCCAGAGCCGAATGTAGGCAAAACAAAGCTTATCGGGGGGTGACCAGAGTCAGCCTGCGTGCCTGGAAGTACAGTTTGTGAGTTCTACACATTTTCAACCAGTTTCATCAGGCAGCTGCTAGGACCCGTACTGTGTCTCAGAGGCTGGGAATCCAAATAAACAAGACCAGCACAGCCCTGTCCTCACGGGGTTTACACACAGACCTTGTCTTAACATTGGCACATTTACTGAATTGTTACTTCTTCAGACTTGGATAGCAGGATGCAGGACCTAGGACCCCGTAGGAACACTTCACATCACTGTCTCGCTTGGATGAAAACTCCCAAGTCCTGAGAATGCAGGGTTGTTCTAAACAGAAGTGATCACTGGTTCTGGCCTTCCTAGAACAGTGCTGAGAAACAGCCAGGAAAACACTGGGCCCCTCTGTGCACATTCAAGCTGGGCATTGAAAGGAGCAGATGCAAGTGGCCCCTCATGCTGGGGAGCCTGTGCCTGTAGCAGGGTCATGTGCACCCTGACAGCACTGTCAGATTTCAGAAGTCTCAGCCCTGACGTGATGTTCTAGATGACAGGGATCCTTGGGGAAAGCTGGAAAACATCTTGCAGGCTGGGGCTGCATCCTGGCATGTCGCTGCAGTGGGCTCCCCCAGAGCCCAAGGGTTTGTCAGCGGGCCAGTTCCCTGCCACCCGTCTCCGAGTTGGGCCAGGGGAGGCTGGATGAGGCATCCCCTGGGGCTGCCCTCCAGGCCCTGGAGATAGGACCCTGAGGGAGCACATTTCTGTCCCCAGGGAGGTGACTTTCTAGGGGAAGAGACAGAATAGACAACAACCAGGGGGAGCCATGGGGACCTCAGAGCAGGACCAGGCTAGCCAGGAGTCCTGGGAGCTCAGCGCAGCCTGGCCCTGGTCTCCCGGAGAGGCTGGGAGATTGTTGCAAGGTGGAGACTCAGCCAGAGCCTCTGCCCTGAGGGCGGCAGGGGACCTGAGTTGTGTCTAGTCGTGGCGCATGGCGTGGAGTGACCGGCCATCTCTCTCTTCTAGGACTACTTGGACCTTGCGGCGTCCACTCCGTCCGACTCCCTGCTTTATGACGACGGCCTCTCAGAGGAGGAGACACCCCTGGTGGACTGTAATAATGCCCCCCTCCCTCGAGCCCTCCCTTCCACATGGATTGAAAACAAACTCTATGGTAGAATTTCCCATGCATTTACTAGATTCTAGCACTGCTGTCCCCTCTGCACTATCCTTCCTCTCTGTGATGCTTTTTAAAAATGTTTCTGGTCTGAACAAAACCAAAGTCTTGCTCTGAACCTTTTTATTTGTAAATGTCTGACTTTGCATCCAGTTTACATTTAGGCATTTTTGCAACTATGTTTTTCTAAAAGGATGTGAAAATAAGTGTAATTACCACATCGCCCAGCAACTTAGGATGGTAGAGGAAAAAACAGATCAGGGTGGAACTCTCAGGGGAGACCAAGAACAGGCCGAAGAAGGCATTTCTAGGGTGGGAATCAAGTCATAGCACTTCTACTTTAACTACGTGGATAAATTTACAAATCTGGGGAGGTATTCAGTTGAGAAAGGAGCTGCCAGCACCACCCACCCTGCACTGGGAACACAGCCAGGTTCCCCCAGACCCCTCCTGGGCAGACGGGTGCCTCTCAGAGGCCACCTGGGACTGGCAAGCGTCCACGGGCCAAGCCTCAGCCCCAGTCCCAGTTGCATGTCCTCCATCCGGGGCAGTGAGATTGCAGGAGCTGGCCAGCCCTGGGAGGACACACCCCCACTGCTGTTTTCACATCCTTTGCCTTACCCACCTTCAGGACAGTTGTCACTTATGAAGTCAGTGCTAAAGCCGGAGCAGTTGCTTTTTGAAAGAACATAGTCTGTGGTGCTGTGGTCTTGCAATGGACAGTAAATATGGTTCTTGCCAAAACTCCTTCTTTTGTCTTCGATTAAATACTTGAAATTTTTTTCTGTTTCCTAACTTCATCATTGGTTGTTTGAAATCTTGGAGTTTCAAGCATTTTTTCAAGCTGAGACGGTTCCTTTTGCATGCCTTCTGACTCACTGACTCCTCACTGGCTTTGTGTCTAGTGCCACACTCCATTTGTGCTGACGATGCTATGAGGCTGGCCCGCGTGCGCCTTCAATTTGGAAGGTCCTCTTCTCCGTTGTAGGCTCCAGACAACAGACGAGTGCCTCCTTTATGTTAGAGAACGTTTTATAGAACGTTCCCACTGCAGTAAGCCAATGAGTGTAGCAGTGTGCTGTTGCCCTACACTGCCTTAGAAAAAGTTAAGCAGTTTGACAAATATACATCAGATTTGAGAGTCTCAAGCTCATAAAAGTCAAATTGGTAGTGTCTGTTAAGTTACATTTACCAAGAGAGCATATGATATTCCCTTAACGATAACAGTGTTTTTGGAAACCTGAAGCACAAAACCATTAATATAATTGGCACAGAAACCATGAGTTTGGTTTGAACATCAAAGGGAGTTTTGCCAAGGCCTTACTGTCTGCACTTGAAGTTTTGGTTCTTCAGTGCAGAACAAATGATCTGTTTTCATTTTTAGGCATGTCAGACCCGAACTGGCCTGGAGAGAGTCCTGTACCACTCACGAGAGCTGATGGCACTAACACTGGGTTTCCAAGATATGCAAATGATAGTGTATATGCTAACTGGATGCTTTCACCCTCAGCGGCAAAATTAATGGACACGTTTGATAGTTAACATTTCTTTGTGAAAGGTAATGAACTCACAAGGGGAAGAAACATGCTGAGAATGGAAAGTCTACCGGCCCTTTCTTTGTGAACGTCACATTGGCCAAGCCATGTTCAGTTCCCAGGCGGCAGACTCGTTTTTGGTAGTTTGTTTTAACTTCCAAGGTGGTTTTACTTCTGATAGCCGGTGATTTTCCCTCCTAGCAGACATGCCACACCAGATAAGAGCTCTGAGTTTTAGTGGTTAAGCATTCCTTTCTCTTCAGTGCCCAGCAGCGCCCACTATTGGTCTGTGTCCATCAGTGACCGCCAACGTTCTGTGTTCACATGTGTGGGTCCACTGCTTACTACCTGGTGTATGAAATTGGACCTGAACTGTTGGATTTTTCTGGTTGCCGCCAAACAAGGCAAAAAAGTTTAACATGAAGCACACACACACAAAAGGCAGTAGGAAAAATGCTGGCCCAGATGACTTGTCCTTGTTCAGAATGAGAGCCTGGGAGGGCCTGGGGGTAGTGTCAATGCCCCTCCAGGGCTGGAGGGGCAGAGGGGACCCGAGGATGGGCCTGGGCTCAGCATTCGAGATCTTGAGAATGATTTTTTTTAATCATACAACCTTTTCTTAGGAAGACACTTGGTTTTCATCATGATTAAGATGATTCCTAGATTTAGCACAATGGAGAGATTTGATGCCATCTTTACTGTGTGGATGGTGGTATCAGGGAAGAGGGCTCACAAGACACATTTGTCCCCCGGGCCCACCACATCATCCTCATATGTTCGGCACCGAGCAACCACTACCCCTGATGAGAACAGTATGAAGAAAGGGGGCTGTTGGAGTCCCAGGACTGCTGACAGCAAAGGCTTTGCTGCTGTGAATCCCACCTGCCACCAGCCTGCAGCACACCCCACAGCCAAGTAGAGGCGAAAGCAGTGGCTCCTCTGACCTGTTAGGAGCAGATAGGGCTTGTACTCACTTTAATTTGAATCTTATCAACTTACTCATAAAGGGACAGGCTAACTAGCTGTGTTAGAAGTAGCAACGACAATGACAAAGGACTGCTACACCTCTGATTACAATTCTGATGTGAAAAAGATGGTGTTTGGCTCTTATAGAGCCTGTGTGAAAGGCCCATGGATCAGTTCTTCCTGTGTTTGTAATTGAATGCTGCTACAAGACGTTTCTGTTTCTTAGATTCTGACCATGACTCATAAGCTTCTTGTCATTCTTCATCGCTTATTTGTGGTCATAGACGCACAACACTCCTCCAGTCTTGTGGGGGCAGCTTTTGGGAAGTCCCAGCAGCTCTCCTGGCTGTGTTGTCAGCACTGTAACTTCACAGAAAAGAGTCGGATTACCAAAACACTGCCTGCTCTTCAGACTTAAAGCACTGATAGGACTTAAAATAGTCTCATTCAAATACTGTATTTTATATATGCATTTCACAAAAACAGCAAAATTATGGCATTTTGTGAGGCCAAGGCTTGGATGTGTGTGTAATAGAGCGTTATGGTGTGTGTGCACACACCCAGAGGGAGAGTTTGAAAAATGCTTGTTGGACACCTAACCTGGCTCTAATTTGGGCTGTTTTTCAGATACACTGTGATAAGTTCTTTTACAAATATCTATAGACATGGTAAACTTTTGGTGTTCAGATATGCTTAATGATAGTCTTACTAAATGCGGAAATAAGAATGAACTCTCAAATTATTAAATAAACTCTCAAATTATTAAAAATGCCTACACAGTAAGTGTGAATTGCTGCAACAGGTTTGTTCTCAGGAGGGTAAGAACTCCAGGTCTAAACAGCTGACCCAGTGATGGGGAATTTATCCTTGACCAATAACCTAATTGTCTATTCTTGAGTTATACAAGTCCCCATCCTTATTAGCTCTATTGGAATTTTCATACACATATATGCAGAAGTTCTTAAGTATTAAGTATGACTGAGTGTTAAGTAGCAATCTGTCAGTTATTAAAATTTGTAAAATCTATTTATGAAAGGTCATTAAACTAGACCGTGTTCCTTTTTTTGTAATCAAGGTGACTAAGAAAATCAGTTGTGTAAATAAAATCATGTATCGTAAAATGTGTAACCTTTTTTTTCTTTTTAACATTCTAGTTGAAAACAGATTTCTGATTTTGTAGTCTGACCTTTTAAATATTGTATGGAAACTACAAAATCAGAAATCTATCGTTTTAAATATTTAAAACGTCACAAAGAATTCTATCATGATAACCACTGAGGCATCAGTAGTGGTCGAGGACTAGGGGCTCCCGTGATATCGCTGGTTTATCTGGTACATTTGCATGTGAATAGGCACATTGATAGAAACTGAAAAACTCAGCTAACTCCACTGTTCAAGGAATCCCTTCCTTAAGGTGTTCATCCCTAGAACAAAGCAGCAGCCAGCATCGAGTTTAGATCTTCACAGTTCTCTAGCAATTTGCTTGTTGCTGATCTTTTGAAGTTGGCCTTAGAGTGTGTGAGAGAGAATATAAAATGCCGAGTCCTGAGGAAGGCCATTAGAAGTGTGAGGGAAAATGCTGTCCTGACCACCATGAAGCCTGACACACTCACTACTTCTGTTTATGTCTTCCCGAGGAATTCTCTGAGCTTCTCATGCTGGGCGTGGAGCTGGTGGGTCAGTGGGCAAATGGGAGTTGTCAACATCAGTCTTATCTGTGATTGCATTGTATCAGATGGCAAGGGCCTGTGTCACACGCATACATGTGTGTACATGTGGGCCTTTGCATGCTTTGCCAGGTGGTGTACACACAGGCCTTTGCACACCTCGCCCAGTGCCTGCCCCAGGCCCATGAGGCCCCGCCTCCCAGCCGTGGGTGCCTGTGTCTGCTCACAGCTTCCTCCTTCAACCTGGACCACAGGAGCTGGAAGTGAACGTAATCTCCAGAGCCAGCTGTTTGCTATAGCCTTTACCTCTGAAAGTAGAAATCTATGCCAAGAAAAGTTAATACTAAAAGCCACCCCAATGTAGACTCTACATTAGGACTATTTGAGTGTGTATGTTTACTGTTTTATTTTCCCCTAAAAACACATTTTCTGCCAACCTTCACGAAGGATTTCTTCCCACCACAAGGCCAGCTTATATGGTCAGAAATCTAGTTGAAATGTGCCTGAGAACAGGGCTTGAACAAATACTTCATATACAAAAGAAATTTTGAAGGGAAAGCACAATTTCTAACTTTAAGAAAGCCTCTCCCCCAGGCAGGTGGAGCAGTTAGTAGTGCCTCTCCCTGCCTCGGATGCGTTTACACATAGTGTCTGGCACACCTTGTTTTATTGCTCTTTGCTTTATTGTGTTTTTCACAAACTGAAATTTTGTGGCAACACTGAATCATCGGGAAAGTCTATCAGGGCCATTCTTCCAACAACCCACACTCATTTCATGTCTCTCTATCAGTACTGTTGAGCAATAAAGTATCTTCAAACCAAGGTATGTACATTGTTTTTTAGACATAGTGCTGTCACATACTTAACAGACTCCAGTACAGTGTAAGTGTAACTTTTATATGCACTGGGAAACCAAGAAACTTGTGTGGCTCACTTATTTAGGATCTTCAATCTTCTTTGCTTTACAAGGGTGGTCTGGAACAGTATCTCTGAGGTTCGCCTGTGTTTAGTGGTTCTAGGAAGTCCTAGGGAATCCTAACCTCTGTGGCCCTGAGAAAGGTGGAAAGGTGGGTCTGCAGAGTGCATGCCACAGTGTGTGTGGCCCCTCGCGTCTTCCACATGAAGCTGCTCCAGGTGCGTGTCCTAGGCTTGCGTGCCTGCAGGGAAAGCACCCTCTCTGCCAGGGCTGCCTGCTGTGGCCCTGTCCCTTCTCCACGGCAGCAGCCTTGACCGAAACTGTAGAGTCTCCCACCTCTTCAGGGAGCTGGGACTCAGGAAGGATCAAGTTAGCTGAGGTCATAAGAACCTGTGTGTAGAGAACTTTTCAGTGTGGGGCCACTACTGTGTCCTGCTGCTGAGGCCAGGTAGTGGCCGTCTGAGGGCTGATAGGGCTGGCTGCTCCCAGGAGTTAAGGAGGCAAACACTCTGAACACCCTGGAGAAATCACATTTTATCTTTGCAACTACAAATTTGAGTGCTGTGTCAAGTGACCAGGTATTTTTGCACATGTCTCTGAGGTGTTAAATCACAGGACCTGGCCAAGTGAGATCTCTCAGCTGGACCCCGGGCAGGGGATCCTTTATGGGGGCACATCTCACTGTGGGGGCTGCAG